TTTTTTGCCCCTTATTTCTATTCGAGACGCGGAGCGTTGCAGTACTACACAACTGGTGTAGCAAAGCACTTCTGATATAGTGATACATAAAAAAAGTAAAAGTAGAGCACGTCAAGAGATCAACAAAATAAACAAAGATTACAATATCTTTGACATAATAGTGAATTTCTAAGGTGTTTTAGATTTTATGTATACAGAAACAATGATTAAAAAAGAATGTAAGTTAATGAAGTTTGTTGTTTATTCGTTCGATGCTTTTGTACTACAATATTTTTTTCTACACTATTATTTTGAGAATTACACATTTTTGTTGTAAATCTATACTACTGTCCTTAAGATATCTTTTCACATGATAATATTTTGTTTCATTGAAAAAAACAATCAACTATCCTGGGTAGAAAGAAGCATCATAAAGTACGAAACTGACATGCTTATGAGCTGAAACAAAAAACAAAACCTTGTTCTAGAAAACCTCGATCTAAATAAACGAATGACGATATGATTTCGTTTGGAAATTTTGAGATACATTGGCGAATCCTTCCAACGATGGTGCGAACAAACCACCAACGGAAATCACGCAGTGTCGCGTTGTTCTTTGCATTACAATGCATAACAGTTTTTGCGCTTTCAACGATGCAGTGTACCAATTTGTGTTGTACCTACAATATATGCGTATATGAGAACAATTCGCTGCCTAAGAAATTTATTTTGATCCGCAACGTGTACACAACTTACATTCTATGAGACATTTCATTGCCCTGGTCGATTAAATACTGTCCTATATAGTTACAGAAAATCATGTACCATACGTGTCCGAGAATGAAAACAAGACTGGTGATTAAGTCGTAATATTTGTCAGATTTCAGAAGAACAGAAAACTGCCATACATAAAACCATACATAAACGATCAATATATTTGTGCACAAAAATAAACAGAGTCGACGTCTTAACATTGCGTTTCAATATGATATGACCGAAAAATCCATTGCTCGACGAATTACTGTGATTAAGTCAATAATTACTCACACGATAGAGATTGATACTCATCGAAATAACTCCCAACGGTAACAACACCATATATGCTAAGTGAAAGTTAGATGCCGACATTTCGACGAACCTTAAGAAACGATAAATAGAAATTAATTTGTTAATAATTCAATACTTTGGTTCATCATTCAACTTTGGTACACAATTTGAATAATAAAAGATATTCGAAAAACAGTTCACGAAAAATAAAGATTACAAACATAAATGCTTTCCTGTGTATTTCGACCGCACTGATTATCCCGCAGATCGAATTTCTTTTGACAGGAAACGCAACATCTTGCACTGATCTCTTCTGCAAAGCTTGTTCTATGCGAAAGCTGAAACTTGTAATACGTGACTACACACTTCTTGCAAACTTTAAAGGTTTTAAGTACTTGTTGCAGATGTGATGAGCAGAAACGAATTTTCAACATGGCTGCAACAAGTACCTGAGGGTTTTAAATAACTTCGTTCTCAATATTTTACTTGGCTATTTCGAATAATCCGCACGCGTGCTGTATGTACGACATATGAAGCGTCTCAGTAGCCGCTACTGTCGTAACTCCACTTAGAGCCACTAAGAAAATGTGAGACATAATCGGAGCGTAATACTTTTGCTGATCTACAAAGTACTCAGCCCTGATCGGAATGTGATATGAACGGGATTCGTTGGCTGCTGCCACGTCGAGTATGTAATTTGATAGAACTTGTAAGAAGATGCAGCCGCACACACATGCATATATGAACACTAATAGACGAAATAATAATCTTTAATCAATTGAAAAGAATTATAATTCTTATATTGCTTACAGGTTGCGCCTATTGTGATGAATCTTCCGAAAGCTGAATACTTTTTTATTATNTCAATCTCTTGCGCGTTATTCAACTCGTTCCAGTCGCATCGGATACGTTCCATGAGATCTCGCATCTAGCTCAATAATAACGATTTTCTTCAACATTTGTAATGAAAACATTTTCTCGACAAGAAACGCACTCACCTTCTTTANGTTGAAACAAAGCACGTTATATTTTAATGTGTACGCTAGCCATGGGATTGTGAACGCGAGGACATGTAAAAGGACATCCACGTTGTACTCGGATGTGATGAAAGTTGTAAGCTAAAAGTGACAATATTTTCTTCTGTTTTCCAGTCTTAAGTTTATGCTAACGCTATGAACTGTTGTATTTAAGCTAACAAATAGCTTCAAAAAGATTATTAAGAATGTAAAGTGACAATGAAGCAAGTCATTGAAGTTTTTTAAAAAGTGATAGTTTGTCATAAATAAAATAGTAAATTATATAAACAGTACGATAATAAAATATATAAAGGTGGAAGAGAAGTAAAAGATATATATGTAAAAACAAGTTGGAAAATAGAGTAGCTTGTACACCTGAACTATTACGCTTGTGAAAAGTAACACAGTCGTAAATGTTATCACAATTTGCCTGGAAGTAGATTCTTGATACGGCCACAAGCCGATAATTAGAAGTAAGATTCGATTAACTGTATAATAACTTTGCGCCGTGCAACTTTGCCATCTCCGAGCGAGCGTCGCGACACAACTGTGCCGTATTTCTTTCCACGAGGTATCGCTTACGGCCGGCAGCATGTTTTATCGTGGATTATAAAGTCGCATTTTTATTTGAAATAGCGCGGCAATAATACGCGAAATTACAGTAAAGTGTCAAATTATAGCTCACACTCGCCTAGCGTCACCACTAACACAAAACAGAAAAAAAAAACGCTATTCACTCATCTGCCCGATGTGTAACTAATTATCTTTTCCCCATAGTATCGTCACATATGTGCATTTTCACGCTCGTCCCTTGCGTTCGATCGACGCAAGCGCAATTGCTTTCGCGCATTTTTTGCGTCCCTTCATTTCCATTCGGGATGCGAAGCATCACAGTTCGCAGTGCCGTGGAAATAAATTGTTTACTGAATCAGAGGTGGGTGGTATATAATATATGTGTGTTTTATACATATGTATATATATTCATATTATAAATATACATGTAATAACCGCAAAAGAAATCGTAACATTGTAGAAGGATACTAAATTAAAGAATTTAATTAAATGGTATAATAGTCAATTACTGCGATTTTCTGCATAAACGTGATAAACCAAAATTAATGAATAACTATGGTTAGTTTTTCGATGCTCTTGTATTACGATATTCGAGTTTGAAAAATCAAACTAGTATTTTAAAGAACTACATGTTTCCGACTTAAAGACATACATAAACTAAAGATTACATAAACTTTTCAAATATTTTGTTTTGTTTTGAATAGTGATATTTTGTTGCTGTGAGAAAAAAATATTCAGCTATCCTGGATAGAAAGAAGTACCATAAAATACGAAACTGACGTGCTCATGAGCTGGAAACAAAGACCTTATTTTATACAAAATTTAAATCTTAATCAACGAATCTCATCAATAAACGAACGACTGTATATGATCTTTTAAAGTTCGAGTTACCATGGCAAACCCTTCGAACGATGGAGCGAACAAACCACCAATGGTAATAACGCAGTGTCGCATTGTTCTTTGCATTACAATCCATAACAGTTTCTGCGCTTTCAACGACGTAGTGTACCATTTTGTATTGTACCTACAAGATATGCGTATATGAGAACATTTCGCTGCCTAAGAAATTTATTTTGATCCGTAACGTGTACACAACTCTTACATTCTATGAGACATTTCATTGCCCTGGTCGATTATATACTGTCCTATATAGTTACAGAAAATCATATACCATATGTGTCCAAGGACGAAAACGAGACTGACGACCAATTCATAATAATTCTCGGACTTTAGTAGATAAGACAACTGTCACACACAGATAAACAATACACTTTCGCAAAGAAATAAACAGTGCCATCGGTTGTATACGTTACGTTTCGATAATCAAGCAATTGAGCTCAACAAATACTCACACGATAGAGATTAATGCTCATTGACGTCACTCCCAACGGCAATAGTACCATGTACGCCGATTTAAAATTTTCCGCAGTCATTTCGACGAACCTTGAATAACGATAAAATATAAAAAAAGAAATATTTAACGTCTTATTTCTCTATAAATGTGATGTAAGACAAATATAAGACAATACTATTTTATATTTAACAGACAATTCACAAGAAGTAATAATGATTACGAACGCAAATGCTTTTCTCTGTATATTGACCGCACTGATTATCCCGCAGATCGAGTTTCTTTTGACAGGAAACGCACCGTCTTGCTTCGAACTCTTCTGCAAAGCTTGTTCTATGCGAAAGCTGAAACTTATAATACATGGCTACACAATTCTTGAAATCTTTTAAAGATCTTGGGTACTTGTTGCAGATGTGATGAGCAGAAACAAATTTTCAACATGGCTGCAACAAGCACCTGAGAGTTTTAAATAACTTCGTTCTTAATATTTTACTTGGCTATTTCGAATAATCCGCACGCGTGCTGCGCGTACGACATAAGGAGCGTCTCAGTGGCTATTACCGTCATAAATCCACTCAGAACGAACAAGAAAATGTGAGACATAATCAAAGCGTAATACTTTTGCTGATCTACAAAGTACTCAACCTTGATCGGAATTGGACGTGAACGTGATTCGTTGGCTGCTGTTACGTAATCGAGTATGTAATTTAATATAACGTGTAATAAGATGTAGCCGCACAAAGATGCACACATGAACACTACGACACACAAAATAAGTATCTTTAATCAGTTGAAAATCAATTAGAATCCCTGTTATTGCTTACAAACGGTGCCTATTGTGATGAATTTTCCGAAAGCTGAGTACTTTTTTATTATCTCAATCTCTTGGGCGTTATTCAATTCGATCCAGTCGGATCGGATACGTTCCATGATATCTCGCAACTACGCTCAACAAATACCGATTGTTATTATTGACATTCTTGACGGAAGTATCTGCTTGACGAGCGAGCACACTCACCTTCTTTACGTTGAGGCAAAGCACGTTATATTTCAATGTGTACGCTAGCCATGGGATGCAGTGCGCAGAAACATGCAAAAAGACATCCACGTCGCACTCGGTTGTGACGAAGGTTGTAAGCTGAAAATGACACGTTTCTCTATTTTCCGATCTCACTTCCGTCAAGCTAACACTGTGAACTCTTGTTTCAAACTCGAATAATTTTGCAGAGAGTATTAAAAATATAAACAACAATGGAAATTCAATACATATATCGTTAAATTTTATAAACAGTTGTTGTTTTTAATTTATTGCCAAAAACAAATTATCTATCCTTTGTAACAAGTAACATCTGTAAAAATGTACTTCGTATTTTGTTTCCTATTTATTTACATTTACTTCTTGTAAGTAGTATTAAAGTTGAAAGAGAATTAAAGAACAAATTTAAAACTAGAGTGACTTTTACACCTGAATTACTATGCTTGAGAAAAGCACCACGGTCATAAATGTAATCACGATTCGTCTGGAACTGGATCCTTGATACGGCCACAGACCGATACTTAGGAGTAAAATGCGATTAATCGTGTAGTAGCTATGCGCCATGCAACTTTCCCATTTCTGATCGAGCGTCGCGACGTAATTGTAACGTGTTTCCTTCCACTGGATATCTCTCAGATCCGGCAGCATGTTTTTGTTGTGTAGATTATAATTTCGCACTCTTTTCACGCGTTCGAAATAGCTCGGCGATAATTCGCAAAATTGCGGTGTATCAAATTACAGCTCACATTTGTTTAGCGTTACCACCAACACAAAGCACGAAAAAAAAAAAAAATATATACTATTACGCACCTGCACGGTGTGTAACTAATTTTCTTTTCCCCACGGTATCGTCACATTTGTGCATTTGCACGCTCGTCCTCTTGCGTTCGATCGACGCAAGCGCAATCGTTTTCGCGCATTTTTCGCGTCCCTTCATTTCTATTCGAAACGCGTAACGTGGCAGTACTAGGCTGCCAACTTGTGTAATGAAGCAGTGAGCCGATAGAGTGACAACGTAATTCAAATAGCAAAGGAAATTGCTCGTAGCGCAGCAAAAGATGAACAAAAATTAAAGATTATATTATCGGTAATGTGACATTAATTTTCTACGTTTTTAATTTATGAACACAGTGAGTTTAATAATACAGACTTGTTTGCTTGTTGTCTTCTGTATTACGATAAGTGAATATGCAACTAATATTCTCTAGAGAGTAACACATTTCTATTGTAAAGCTTTACATACGTAAATTGTTCTTTTAAACGAAGATATTTCGATATTCGAAAGAACAATCAACGATCCTGGACAGAAAGAAGCATCATAAAATACGATACAGACATGCTCGTAAGCTGAAACAAACAAATCTTGTTCCAGATAATCTGAATCTATAGATAAACGATCATATGATTTTTGCAAATCTCATGATACCCCGGCAAATCCCTCTAACGACGGAATGAACAAACCACCAAGTATGAGCACGTATTGTCGCATCGTTCTTTGCATAACAATACATATTAGTTTCTGCACCTTCAACGACGCTCTGTACCATTGTGTTTCGTATCTACAAAATACGCGTATGCATGTGAAAATTTGTTTTTTTTTCTTTTTGCCATCTAAGAGATGTATTTTTATTTAACAACATACGCGCATTGCTTACGCTTTGTCAAACATGTTGCCGCTATGGTCGATCACTATCTGTCCTATATAGTTGCAGAAAAGCATAAAAATGAAATGACCGAGAATAATCATGGAGCAGATGATTAACTCGTAGTAATCTTCGGACTTTAGTAGATAAGAAAACTGCGATACAGACAATTGAATTTTGCGAGCGAATAAACTTCGAGTCTTTGAGTTTAATATATCGCGTACGTAGCGGCAGCGTGTAAACGCTCGATAAACGCTTAATTAAAATTTAAACATTATCAAAGAAGAGTCGAGAAATACTCACGCGATAGAGATTGATGCTCAACGACATCACTCCTAACGGCAACAGCATCATGTACGCCCACTTAAAACTTGTCATCGCCATATCGACAAACCTTGAATGTGTATAAAATATAAAGAAATTTCTTTATGTTGTAGCGATGTGTCACTTAAATTTCACACACAGAGATATGAAATTCCAAAGTGAATTCGCGAAAAGTAATATTATATTGATTACGAACGTGTATGCTCTCCTCTGCGCATGGACCGCACTGATTATCCCACTTATCGAAGTTTTTTCATCAAGAGAAGCGACATCTTGCAGCGAGTTTGTGTGCAAAGCTTGTTTTATGCGGTAACTGAAATCGATGACAATACTTGCAAACCTCAATGGCTCTTTCGTGCTTGTTGCAGATGTGATAAATAGTAAAAAAAAAAAAAAAAAAACGAAAACTTTGACGCGACTGCAACAAGTGAAACTGGACTAGATGAAAATAATTTAATTCTCAAAAGTTTACTTGGCTATTTCGAACAATCCGCACGCGTGTTGCATGTACGACATAAAAAGCGTCTCGGTGGCCACCAGCGTGCTAAGTCCGCTCAGAGCCAGAAGAAAAAGGTGCATCACAATGAAAGAGTAATACTTTTCCTGATCCACAAAATACTCGGCCAAGATCGGAATTCGTCGTATACGGGATTCGTTCGCTGTCGTTGCGAGATCGTACAAATAATTCGATATTATCTGCACGACGACGAAGCAGCTTATACTCGTGTACATGAACACTACGGCAAAACGAATGTCTTTATACGAGTTCGGAAAAATTGTTGTTCGGAAGTGTTGCTTACAAGTTACGCCTGTTGTCATGAGTTTTCCGACAGCTGAGTATTTTTTTATTATTTCAATTTCCTGAGCGTTACTGAACTCGTTCCAGTCGCATCGCACACGTTCCATGAGGTCGCGCATCTACGCACAACAATAACGCGACTGTGTTCATCGATACTTTTTTGAGCGCGATTATATTCGATTTCGAAATATACGCGCTCACCTTCTTTACGTTGAAGCAAAACACGCTATATTTCAATGTATATCCCATCCATGGTACGCTGTACGCGAGAACGTGCAAAAGAATGTCCACGTTAAACTCGTTCGTGATGAAACTCGTGAACTGAAAGTGATATTTTCCTCCAGCCATTCTTACGTTCACGCTAACGCTATCTAACTGTTTTTCGAGCTAGATTAGCTTTGAAAAGATTAGTGAAAATATAAAGACACACATATCTACATATTTTTTATATCGTTACACATTCTCATTTCTCCTTTACAATTACTAGTATTAAACAAGTGGAAGAATAACGACCAGGAAAGAAGTGCTTGATGTAAAAAAACAAAAACAAAAAAAAAATGAAAAAAAAAGAGTGACTTTCACACCTGAATTACTATGGCGAAGACAAGCGCCACGGTTGTTAATGTTATCACAATTCGCCTGGAATTGGTTCCTTGATACGGCCACAAGCCGACACTTAGAAGTAAGATTCGGTTAATTGCGTAATAACTATTCGCCATGGAGTCTTCCCATCTCTGTGCGAGCATCTCGTCGCGTTTGTGACGTATTTCCGTTCGCGTGGTATCGCTTGGAGTCGGCATGTTTTATTTTAGAAAATATATAATTTCGCAATTGCACATGTAAAAAATAGCGCGTGTACGATAATGCGCGAAAATTACGATAAAAAGCAACAAAAAGTATATCTCATATCTGTCTGGAGTTTTCGCCACAACAGAGCGTGAAAAAAAAAAAGTTATTATCCATTTGCGAGGCGTGAAACTAATTATCTTTTTCTCACTGGAATCGTCACTGTTGCGCCGCGTTCGATCGACGCAGGCGCAATCGTTTTCGCGCATTTTTCACGTTCATTTCAATTCGAGACGCGAAGCGTTGCAGTATATCCCACGCGAGCAAATTGTGTACTTACGGAAGCCGCGCTCATACAGTGACATATTTAACAGAAGAGCTCGTAGTACGACAAACGAAAAAAAAAACACTTGAGATATGTAATAACCGTAATGTAACATTACAAGTTACTACGTTTTTATTTTGTGTCAACAAGTTATCAGATTTATTGTTAATACAATAAGTTTGTGTTTTGTGCGTGTGTACGGTGTTCATACTTTGTATTACAATAAGCGCTAAAGAGTTACACTTTTGTATCGTAAAACTTTGTATTGTATTTTCAAGTGTTTTTTAAATAATAGAATTTTTTTAAAAATAAAAACAATTAACGATCTTAGACAGAAAGGATCATCGTAAAGTGCGAATTTACGACACACTCGTGAGCTAAAACAGATATCGCATGTTAAAAAAAAATCGATATCCGTATAAAAATTTTTATCTAAGTCTATATCTTTATCCAGAGAAAAGACTGCGTTTAAAAATTAAACAAAGTTTGAAACATTTTGACGACACCTTTGCACACAAATTCTCTAAATAAAATGTAACAAACAAATTATGAGCTCGCAGCTTGTCACATCGCGCGCTTTAAAGCAGAGCGCGATATGTTAATATTTCGCGATATTTTTTAACGAGAAAACGTGAGAGTCATCAGATCAGTTTTGTTTTTTTTGTGTTACGATTATATTTGCGTTAAAAATGTTTCAGCGCTTCTAATAAGCTCGCAGTTACATTGTGCAAATAAAAAAGTTTCTATGTACGTTCTATTTTCAACAAAAAATTTGTTTTTACGATAAATTAACGGAATAAATCACCATGAAGTAGGAGAGAGACATGCTCGAGAGCTGGAAACAATTGTATTTTGAAATTTATCCGAGAGAAGAGAATATGTTTGAGAGATTACCGGTGTGGTATTATATTTATTGAAGACCGTACCGTGGCGAATCCTTCTAACGACGGAATGAACAAGCCACCAATCACGATTGTGCAATTCCGCGTGCTCCTTTGCATCACAAGCAGCAATAATTTCTGCACTTTCAAAGGTGCCATGTACCACCGCACGTTGTATCTGCATAAAATAATCACGTCGTTAGAAAACTCGAACTCGAATTTCAACACAAGGCTCTTACCTCCATCCGTGTCCCCAATATAAGACGAATTCTTAAATTTTCTCTAATACGTGTATTGAGATCTCCGCAAGTTCTCGATCATCAATCGCGAAGAATATAGCAATTTTTTAAATACTTATCTACTTTTTTTTTTTACATCGTTTTTTCCTCCACTTCAACAGAATTGAAGAGAATTGAACGAGATTCTTTGCGGCTCGTTCGAGAACTTGGAGATCTCGCCGCGTTGTATTACTCACATTCTGTGAAATACATCGCCGCTATGATCGATCACCTTCTGTCCCAGATAGTTGCAGAAGAAAAGGTGCCAGAAGTGACCGATGACGAAGAGAAAGATGTGGATTATCTCGTGATACTCGTCGGTCGTTATCAGTCGAGAGAGCTGCACAGATGGCGATTGCAACAGAGGATATGGTATGTACACGTAGATGTGCGTCTGTGCGATACATGAGGCCGAAAACGCGTTTAATTGCTCGGCCTGGTCAGCTGCGGGCGGTAAGTGTAACGTGGTACGTCAAAATGATTACTCACGCGATATAGATTAACGCTCAGCGACAAGACGGTCATCGGCAGCGCCAGAAAGTACGCGATCGTGAAATTCGCCTTCGACATTTCGATGAACCTTGAATAAACGAGATAAGATAATTTGCGCTCTTTTTTTCTTTTTTTAGCGCATTTATTATCGATAATTTAATTTATTATTTATATCGAAAAACAGAAGAAAATTTCAATAATAGAGAGAGTATCAAGGATACAATAGTAAAAAGAAATAAGAAAAAAGCACAAAATTGTAAATATAATCCGTCGACGAGGCGACTCGTGAATAAATGAAGAAACGTTATTTTGTCTTAAAAAAACAAAATTAAGACAAAAACGAACTCGATTGCTTTCCTGTGTATGTCGACCGCGCTGATTATTCCTCGACACGTAGCGGAGTTTCTCTCGGCTGCCGCCACCACACCCTTCGCCACGCTCTTGTGCAACGCTTGTTCAATGCGACAACTGCGAAGAGCGCGTGTAAGATCGGTTAACAACAGTTTGTTTGTTTGTTTGTTTGTTTGTTTGTTTTTTTTTATCTACATAATTATCTCACTCATTTCTCGAAACGCGCATTACCTCGCTATTCGGAACAGTCCGCACGCGTGATGCGCGTAGGACATGTAAATCGTCTCGGTGGCGAGCATCGTGGTCAGACCGCACAGAACGATGCAGAATATGTGCAACATGATCGGCACGAAGTATCGCTCCTGATCCACAAAGTACTCGGTCACGGCCGGCAGTTCTCGCGGTCGAGATTCGTTCGCGGCCGTTGCCGAGTACAGAACAAAATTGAACACGAGCTGCAGCAGAAAGAATCCGAGCATCGACATGTAGATGAGCACTGAAACGGAGACGGAATCATAATTCGGATCGGTTTACAGCGCGCGAAAAAAAAAAAAAAGAAAAAATTAATCCGAATATGTTGCTCACGTATGGACAGCAGTGTGATGAACCTTCCCATGGCCGAATAACTCTTTATTATTTCGATCTCCCGCGCGTCATTCAGCGCGCTCCAGTCATACCGCACCCGGTCCATAAGATTTCGCATCTACACTCATTAGTGACGATTACGAAAATAATGTGTGTGTGTGTGTGTGTGTGTGTCCGAAACGGACGAACGTTTGACTTGACTTCTCTCACCTTCTCTATGTTCAAGCAAAGAACATTGTATTTTACTGTGAAAGAGAGCCACGGAATACTGTACGCTACGATCTTGAGAAAAAGATCCATGTCGACCTGCGTCGTGATGAAGGTCGTGAACTGAAAGTTACATTTCTTTCCAGCTCTACTTCGCATCCTCTCTCTCGTGTGATTACAAACATAAATATTTATTTAAACATAAGAAAAAAGATTCGCGGAAGATTAATTACTCGGATGCGCAAAATGCATTCAATTATAAAAATGATAAATTCTAAATCGATTTTGCGCTCGCAAAGTTTATTGCACCGAATAGAGCGACGATAAAAAAAAAAAAAAAGAAGAAGAAGCAAAGCGGATTGATAAGTCGCAGATAAAAATTGAGGAAGATTGTCGTACCTGACACACTATGCTCGATATGAGCACTATGGTTATAAGTGTTATCAGAACGCGTCTGAGACCGGTCCTCTGATACGGCCACAGGCCGACAGATAACAACAGAATCCGATTTATCGCGTAATAACTGTTTATCGAGCCGCTCATCTCGACGCGACGACTATCGCGACGCGTTTGCGTCGAATTTTTCTTCTTTGCGCTACACTCCGCATTTCTATTATTCTATTTTTGCAATTTTGCGCCATCCCCGAGTGTTTCCGCGCTCGAAAATATCGCGCTAATACCGCGCGAAATTGCAAAATTGTGCCGAGTAACTCGCGCAAATTACAATCCTCCCTCGCGGCTTTTATTCGTTCGCCTTCGGGTCGCGCGGGAACGACGAAAAGAAGAGAAGTCATTATTTTCCGGAGGTGTGCGACCGATTATCTTTTTCTCATCACGTCGTCGCGTCATACGGTATTTGCGCTCTTTGTTGTTCGATCGACGCACGCGCAATCGCAAAGTCGCTTTCAACGTCGTTTCCGACGTCCCGTCATTCTCGTTCGGCGCGCGAAACGTTCCGGTGCTTCTTTCGAGACGACGCGCGCGCAAAATAGCGCGCTGACATGTTAAACGTGGTCGTGCCGTGATTAACCGGAGACTTGTTACACGATTATAATCGTGGGAACGTAACGATGCGTGCTTCGGAGCAGACGGTAGGTAGAGGTATACGTTCAGCGAAGTAAGGAGGTAAACCGGATTGTGCAAAATTTATTCTGCTTTGTGCCCGGGAGAAGCCCAATCTAATTTCCGCCTCGTCTTTGTTCCTTCGTATATTCTAAAATATCCGTGTATTTTTCCACATTTTCCGCACAAAAAAAAAACTTGTAAATAACGCCGTCGTGAATAAGACAAAAAATAGAAAATGTGGAAATCGGATCCAAAGATGAAAGAATGTTGGTACGCATTTTACCGCGGTTACGAAAGCGACGTGAAATTGCGTGGGAATTCTTCTCTCACGTACTTTCGCGCTCTTTGTTTTCTATTGCGTACTTTGTCCCGGCGAGAAAACAGAAAAAAAACCAAGATACTCGCAAATTGTCTGTTGCGAGAAAAATCGTCCAGTTTAATCGTCATCTCTGTTCTCGTCGAGAAACAAATACGTTCCCGTCAATTATTAAAGACGACATTTTTTTCTTACGCGTATTACACGTATTACATGTAATGCACACGCACGTATATAGTTTTGCTTCATCATTGTATTTTATCGTATATCTTTTGTACAGTTGCATTTTATCGTATAATTTTCGCGCGCAAATTAATTAATGTTGATCACTCTCCTTAATTAACAAGCAGATGGATGGTTTACAGTCCGTTGCTCCTTTGGTCGTCAATCAATAAAGGTACGTTTGAAATTTAATGAATTATATTAAACGACGTAATTTATTGAAAACGGCCACCTGTTGAAATTCTTCTAATTTCTGCGACTAAGAGGAACCGGAGGAAGGGGAGGAAGAATCGAAGCGACGCCGCGCGATGACAAATTCATATTTAGAAATTTGTTTCGTGACGATCAAAACTGTATATTTATCATCGGATACGTACTACAGTGAATCTTAAAAAGAACAGAATAAAGTTGTTGGTTACATCGTCGTTTGATTGCCAGAGCTGATTGGAGAAAAGCGTCGTATTGTGCACATTGATTAAGGATGTTGCACCGACCAAAGAACCGTGAAATAAGACAAAGAGACGTTCATGATCTGAAATTATAGATCCGTTTGTGTAATAACAACGGATTTTTTTTTTTTTTCTATGTTGTTTTAGTAGATTTTTATTACCGAAGCAAAGAATTCGAGCGAGCCCTCGATCACACCCAATATTTGAAATTTATAACCTTTCGCGTTTCGTTGCATCATAATAGCGATCGTTTTTTGCAATTGTAGAGGGACAGAATACCACGACAATTGGCATCTATTATTTTGTTAAACAAAATTGTGTTATTATTTAAACAACTGTGACTGTTTAATATGTTTTTTTCAATATTATTTGAAATTATTATGGCTACTTTGTATCAATTGAATGAAAACAATGTTCAATAAATCGTATTTCGGACATGAAACGTTCACGTTACTATGTTCGTGTTATAAACGTGTAGGCACAGAGGGAGCGGCCTTCGATCATCCCCCTGCCTACACGCTTACAGCACGAACAAAAAATAACAGAAAGAGCAGTTATCTTAAGATGTCGAAAAACGAAAATTTCTTAAAGAAATTTGTTTTGTTTCTAACTTTTTATAATGAACAATGAGGCTAAAACCTTTACATTGTTTACTCAGGGACATGTTCTTGACAACATGTGTCAAGATCAAAGTCTCATCGGAGCATCCTCACCCTATACTGAACATTTACCAAATGTATCTGCGACTTCTGTCAATAAAATTGTGAAAAGCGATAAATTAAACGGAATGTATATTTGAATTGAAAAATTGAGTACTCACATTTCATCATATATGTCAAAGCTGCTGTTTGTTATTAATTGCGACGCGAGATTGCTAAAAAACATGTAAACGAAGTGAGCGATAACCAACATTCCGACCAAGAAAAACTCTTCCAAATTCTTTTCGTATCCTGCTTGAGAAAACTGAGCGTGTACAAAACAAACTTTTGTCATTTGTCGAGTTAATTGTCAGCATTATCGACGATTATCCGCTCGGTTCACGAAGTACTCACACGAAGCAGGTTGATGCTCAGGGAACATATGCCCATTATCAGCAAGAAAAAATAACACATTTCAAAGCAGTCGTTGAACAAATTGCACAATCTGTAACGACATTTTCCGTCGTGAATAGAATTCTTAGAAAATCATCAATTTCGCTCGTTTGTTGTTTCAAAATATTTCGTTCAAAAATTCGATTGATTTATTCTAATCTTGTCGCGCGATTAATCGCAAAAATCACTAACATACGTACCCGAGGGCCTTGTTTTGAATGACTATCGCTTTGACTAAGTTGGCGTGATATATCTTGCTCTTTTCCGAGATGGAAATGCGCAGTTCGCAGTCAAACGCGTGTTCTATGCGAAGTCTGCAAGAGAACGAAGTGCAGTTTTAATTGACAAATAAGACGATGCGAAGCATCGCGGAAAAATATCACGGGAAAATGTCTCGCTAAGAAAAAAACTAGTACCACGATGTAAAATTAACAGACGCAACGGCACGGTGCTTCGCGAAAATTCCAGCTAAACTTTTGTTTTTCTCATGTTTTTTTTTTTTATACCTGGCGATTTGGAACAATCCGCTAACGTGCTGTAAGCATATCGCGCAAAACAATTCCGTGCCCAGTATCGTGGTTGTTTCCAGAGAAAGCGCCACCATCATGTGAACCATTATCGGATAGAAGTACTTTTCCTGATCGAAGAACAACACGGCTACGCCCAACAGACGTACAGGACGCGACTTGTTCAAGGGAATGATTGCGTCGAGGATTTTCGGCGAACTTTGTACCGTAATGAACACGAATATGAAAGTGTAGAATATTACTGGAAAAAAAAAAAAAAACAAAAAAAAACTGATCAAATCGAAAGAGCAAGTATGTTGTTTCTTTAACGTAAATTGTGATAAAACACGTTTTCTCACATATTATAATATTGAAAAACAGACTTGTGAAGTTGGCATATTTTTTTAAAATTTTTATTTCCTCTTTGCGCTTTATCATCATCCAATCGTATTCCAGTTGAATTATTATATTTTTTATCTATCACATTTTCGATAATAATTACTGACTTCTTATGTTACACTTAAAATATTTTTATAAAATGTTCCGAGCGAAATCAATAAACTTACACCATCGGATTTCAACACAAACGTCGCATATTTGCATGAGAACACTAGACAGGGCACGGCAAACGATAAAATTCGAAAAACGGTGGCAAAATCATTTCTGCAAGTTATGATTTTGGCAAACTGAGAAAAGAAACAATATTTCGTAATAAAGAATTCTGAAAAACTTGAAACTTGACATTTTTAATCGTATATACATGTCGATTTTAATATTTTAATACATTCACAAAATGTTATTTATCAAAACACGTATGAATTTTTTCCGCAACAAAAAAATGTTGAAGACTGATTTGGCTAAATTGTTTTCACGTGTACGGAAACGGAATTAAAATAAAAAACAAAAACAAGATACAAAAGGTTACCTGCAAGCCTATAGAAAATGCGAGCATCAGAGCGAAAAATATTCTCTGAACGAGTCCGAACATCGATTTGTTAAGCGGCCACAAACCGATTGCGAGTAGCATTATTTTCGGGAGCTTGAAATGACGCTCGTAGATCATTTTTGTTCGACGGTTGAGACACGACAGCGCGGAAGATGTCGAGGAAGCTCGCGCAACACCACGTCCTCATATTTTATTAAAGACTCTCGCATTTTTCGTTTCGAATTTTGCCGCACTTTACTTCGATTAGTATTATGTTGTTTTGAGGAGATAACACGTCGCAAATAGCAGCGAACAAATTTATCTTTAGGGACAGCGAGAGAAAAAAGTCTGATAATTGGCGGATCGATACGCCTTACTTACCAAGACTGTTCCGGTAAATTGTCGCGAAAATATATCAAGCAAGGGGAAAATGTTATTTCGCGACATGTGCGGGAATTATATTATTGAAGTAATTTATCGTAAAAAAAAACTTTTCTCTCTGAAGGTTGACGCAGGCGCTTTAGTTGTATCGCACTGACAGTCGTTCCCCTCAGTTCTGCTCGGTTGAATGTGGATGTTACATTCTAATTCAGCTCGCTAGTTGAACGGCTATAAAGTCACCGACTGTGAACGAGAATAATGCATCGTTCGACAAATAGAAGTCGAACAGAAAGAACGTCCGAGTCGGAATATCTATCGTAAATCGTGCAACAATTGCGAAAGCGGAATGAGAGACATTGTGATTCACCAACATATTCGAGATTAGCATTTTCTATGGGATATTCAATTAAAACAAAAACTTGTTTAAGTAAGTTCTTTAATTAAACAATTCTTTGAAAATATATCGTTCCAAACAACGCGTAGCTTTGCGTTTTCGTTCTTTGCGTATTCGTTCGTGCGTCTAGAAATTTTCAAGAAACTCCATCGCTTATGTAGTTGATTTGTACAGTCGATTATATGGAGCAGAAAATTGTGACTGTAAAGAGAATCAGATTCACGGCCTACACTATAGATATTACTATCCACTACTCTCACACGCAATATCTCTCATAAACAAGCATAGTTATTACATTAATGTAAAAATATAATCAGTTACTTTATCAAAACCTAAAAAAAAAACTTAATATAAACCTTAAAAATCTAAATTTTAAACAATTTTGTTTTCGACGACATAAAAAATAATTTTTTAATAAATAGAAGTATAAAAGTAGGTGTGTCGTACTTACTTGCAACAAGTATCGTAAATAGTTTTCCTGTGTTGGCATGTTTCTGTATTATATCGATTTCTTAAATTGTCTAATCAAATGTTTCAGTTGTTCCGCATAATTCTCGACAGTATGCTAATCATTTTATATATTTATTTGTGCACAGGTCTATAAGAGAATTGTGATATCGTATAATAAACTATAAACAATATAATATCCCAATATGATATAAAATGTTACTTTAAATAATTTGATTGCGCATTAAAATAACCTATTATTGTGCGAACTTACATTTCGCATAACTGTAAAAAAAGTAAAATATTTAATAGCAAACAGTATAATCATAACACAAGTAGATAGCACTTCCAGACAAAAGTAAAAATTATATTCCGAAATAATTAATTTATCACTTTTGAAAGAAACGCTTTGCGTTAGTGTACTTTTCTATAAATAAATTATATACAATCAAAAACATCTTTATATACATAAAAAAATATATAGTCTAAAAGAACAAAACCGTGTGTGAAAAGTATATGAACCGCGCGCGTGTAAAATGTATTATAATTAATTTAAGTTGCAAAGCACATGCACTGGGTGATCCTTGCCATTGTATATATTGATTACAATGATATATTGATTAGATTTTAAATAAACACCACTCAACAATTTTTTAAATAAAGCACTTGTACGTGTATGATTGTAAACAAATATAAACGAGATATATGTATATCAGTACTGATACCTTGAATTGTATATGATTGATGGTGGAATTATTATATGGCCAGAGTCCAATCGATGACAAAAGAATGTAGGCAGGTCTACAATGTCGCATGTCGAAGAATTTTATCCTGAATGAAACATCGCTGAACACATTCATAGTTTATAGACGTTTTTTTCTCTGAGCATCTACTTACGCTAACGCGGTGTAAATAGATGTAACGATAGCACAAATACAACAATAACGATAACAACAAACGTATATTGAAAATTGTATTTGAAATAACAGCGTGAAAAAAAGTACCGTTTGGCATATTTACAATTAATTAATAAAAACAAAAAAAGGAAAAATATATATATCTTTCGAGAAAAAAACTAAATAATTGTCACTTTGTGATAAGAGCGCAAGATGACGAGTAAATTGCTGTAATTTACAATTAAGCAATTACATAT